GAAAACCTTAATATACGGTCAACCCGTACCTCTGTCACCAAAGCGAGACAAAGCCTTGATTTTTCAGGGCAGTTCATCAACACCACCCACCAAGCTTTGATTTTTCGATCCAAGAGGTAGTGAACATTACCATTTGTACCTATGCCCTACACAGTGTCATCAAGAACTGGAGGGTTTCTAATGAAAAAACAATATCAGACAACAGAATAATGAGGTTATCATATCGTAAACTCTATACTATATAGGAATCCTCGAGACACCTACTGGGCAAGATTCACCGAGACGTTACAAGATAACTCGGACCACGTAACAGGAAAGAAAACATCACGGAATTGAATTTTGAACTTGCAGATGCGGAACTCATAACCTACTTTGGTAGAGCAAAGAACTGGGTGGGCTAAGAGTCGAAACCAGAAAAGCATTCAACAAAGGAAAAGTAACAAGCAACTGGGGAGGTATAAGAGACTTACCTCGTGCAAGCATACATTGCGCAGAACAAAGAGGAAAAGCTTTCGCAAAATTTGAAGAAAAATTTCCTCAGCATGTACAGCAGCTAGAGTGCATAAAGAACTAGCAAACGAAGGAGTAGATAATTATTAACACTGCCCTGAAGAAAGCAGTCGGAACCTACTCAGAAGTACTATTGAAAATATTACACATTTATTTATTTATATTTAAAAATATTATTGTATTTATTTATTTATGTTACTTGTATAACGCACCACCAACTGGAAGAAACTAATTTTTGGAATGCGGGGTGGTAGTTCCCACTATTTTTTTCTTCTAACTACTATCCGTGGCAGTGTGAGAACTTCTTTCGTCCGTGGAAATGCGATTTAAATTGCCTTTAATTCCCCCAGCTTCTTCAGTTTGAGTTGAATGTGTTTTTACCATTTCACGGTTTTCTCAATTACTTTGAAATGGGTGGTTTGTTTTTTCGATTTTTTTTATTACAGTACTTTATTAAATTAGATTCGTGTGCTGGATGATCGTTATTATTCAATCTCGGTTGTTCTTCCACGCTGATTGCTGTAGAATTGATTTTTGTAATTGGCCCGGCTTTGCTGTGTTTTTCGTCTTCAATTTGTGCTTATTTATTTTTTAAGGGAGGGTTGATTTAGAATTATGACAATCCTTTGTTCCACTACGATCTAAATAATCTGTTGTGGAATTGTGGAACCCCTATAAATTATGGCCATGCCTTGGAAAGTACGCTTTTTCCTATAAGACTAAGCACTTTCCTTGGTGCCTCACGGATCTTTTTTGGTATGAGAAATGTCCTACCGAATTGGCTATACCGTAATCGGGCTAATGCTTCACATTCACAAAGGATATGTGCCGACCCTCTGGTTCCACGTGCAGAGAATCGTCGTGTTTCGGTCTCTCCTCGCCCATCCATGCTTATCTACGTTATTGCACTGTATTTCCGTATCGGTGAAGATTCTCTTAGTAGGAATTGCACCCAAGACGAATTGTCAAATGAAAAATTCTCTACGTTTTTAGCTTTAACAGAAAAAAATCTATCGTGCAACCGAGAAGGTTTTATTAGCAAGGATAATTCCAAATTCGCTGATTCTACCAGCGTACTCGAGTGCTTCAGAGATTTCCCCCTTTGAATTTCATTTTCAAACCGCAACGTGTGGTTAAATTTTGAAAATTTATAGTAGAGCAGAGACCCGTGTGAATGCAGTTGAAATGTTAACCCTTTAACTTTTAAGGGAAGAATAATCCACCCTGAGAAACAAAGAGGATAATACCATTTTAATGAATACTGTTAGGAACGTTGGTGGCCTCAACTGTTTAGGCGTTGACATGGCACTCATCACTGTAAGGTAAAGGTTCCGGGTTCGAATCAAGCGGCCTTGCATTCGAACTCGATATACTTACAAAAGGGCTTTTTTTCAAAAACGCCGGCACCCCGAGGGGTAGAATATAACCTCTGCTGTTGCGAACCCTCGTAAATAAAGAAAAGAAAAAAAAGAATACTGTTTTTGATTAAATCATTTATATAACGAGAAAAAAAAAGAAATAATGGATAGAATACATATCTACTATGTCTAAGGTTTGCTTTATATAGTAGTTTTGTAGGTTAAGAACAGTTTAAAATATGGTGGCATCAGGAAAAAGTTACAAATTAAAGACCGAAATTACCTTCTGACTAAAACCGGTGTTATGTTAGAGTAAATACCTTTTTTTAAATGTATAGCCGTTATTTTACAGTACATTGAAAACATGTCGTTCATACTGTCGTTATTGATAAATAACTTAAAAGAGTTCTAGAGGTTATTGAGCATAGATTATGATTGATGTTTTTAGGTTGTTGTTAGCCAACAATAATATTTCAACACTCGAGATGGGGGAAAAAGAATTGTATGACGGATTCTTTGAAACTTTGCTGCTATTATTAAAAGTATAATAATTAACCTATTGTTGTTTAATGTAAAATTATTGAACAAATTACGAGTCCATCAAAGAATCAAAGGGAATCTAGCATAAATAGGACTTTCTGATGCAAATTGCAATTTTTGGTTTGAGTTCGGTATAATTTGCTCATTAATATTTCATATGGAATAAACGTCGTACCGATCTTTCCTGGGAAGTACTAAGTTCCAATGATAACGAGATTTGGTAAAGACTTAGGAACATCCTTTTAAAACCCCCATCGGACGTAGAATAAAGGGCCTAGGAAGGGATTTTATTATTAAAGACTTGATTTTTGGGTCAGCCGACGGTATCGATCCAATATTTTGTAATTCCATTTCCATCTTCGAAGTAATATAAGGATTGTGAGCATGTAACAATTCGGTAACCTTTTGAGGAATTTGTAACATCGGTTAGCTTCATGTATTCGATTCAGTATGGGTAGGGCACGATATTCTTTGTTGTTAAAGTAACTGCTGCGGAAGCCTACTTGAAGCAGATCCTAGTAGGTTCAGCCATATGCGACTACCACAGGCAAATAAAGTTCGCATCAGGATTCCTCTCTCTTAATCGAAAAAGTATACTGGGTGGTTTATGTAAAAGTAGGCAAGACAAAATTCACATTTAGGTATAGTCTTGATCCTCCTCTGTCCACTGTGTCTGCGTTATCGTTACCCAAAATTCCTTTGTGTCCTGGCACCCAAGATATCATCAGGTTGTAGTTCCCCAGGTTTTGGAGATGGATGCATTTACTGATTTGTTTCGATGAGCCTTTTTTTTGCACGCTAACGCTTTAATAGCGACTATCCGATCTTATAAGAATTTTTTGCCAGTGTAACCTCTTTTAAGATTTTCTAGGACACAAGCATTGAGGGCATTTATTTCTGCTTGAAAGACAGAAGTGTATTCCCTAATGAGTTTGATTGCTCATATCTTGGTGTTTACAAAAAACACCCGATCCGATTCCTTCGTTTGTTTTGGAGCAATCTGTATACAATACATTGCACCTGATGCTCTCCTGAGTTCTTCTCTCCTTTATCGTCTGTTGAGACTTTATGCAATGTTGTAAAGGATGTTTCGGGAATCATGCAGCCAGTTCCCATTTCTAAGTATGGGTGTATGATTTTATTAATTATGGTTGCGTGCCCGAGTTGTTTAGTTCCTATTCAATTTTATTGTTTTTGGACTCTAAATGAGCTTTTCCTAGCCTGTCCTCGTATAAATATTTTCAGTGGAAGTAGGTTTTTAGCACAGTTTCTAGTACACGTTGTCGGGGTTCTTCTCATTGCGCCTGTAATACATAGGTTTGCTAATCTTTGTATGCTGCCTTTTTGTTGAGTTTGGTCCACCAGATTAATGACCCATAGGTTATTTTGGGCCAGTGTATAGCCAATGGGCCATTTTCTGTTTTAATCCCCAAGAATTGCCTAGGGTTCTTCTTGTGGTCATTAGCGATATTTTACTTTTTGCCATGGTATGCTGCAAATGTGGGTGTTCTAGGCTAACTTCTTATCAAATATTATTAGGTATTTAAACTCGTTTTTTAACTGCAACATTTCATTTTAGAAACGTAGGCCTTGTATTTCTATGTTTCTTTTCTTGGTGAAAGTAATTACGGTAGTTTTAGAGGCGTTTGCAAGTTCCCGTTGTGAACACCATTGTTCTACCAAGTTTTAGCACTCTTTGGATGAGCTCTTTTAATGTCGAGTCGAATTTTCCCCTGAGTATGACAGTACCATCTGCATAGCCTTGGTTATAAATTCCACTCTGCTATAAAGCACAGAACGTGGGATTCAATAGCTCAAACTCGTTTGAATAACTCAAAAACCTAGATTGGAGACAAACCCCAGTAAGTAACCCTGGACCCTGCAAACTAATTGGACATCTGAAGACGGTGGCATAACCCGACACAACGTGTGCAGATTCTGCAAAGAAGCAGAGGAGACACCAACAAAGTAAGAAACTGAGGTGCTACACTTGCCCGCAGGAAAAAGTGTTTTGGGTCATACAACTGTAGAAGAGATTCAACCACTAAACCGGACTAATTAATCAAGTTCCTTGATGAACTAGGACTGACTGGTGTGCTTTAAGCACCGAACGTTGGATACATCGTTCTTAAAGGGCGCAGTATAATACATGCCCCAACTAATACCGCTATCTAATGATCTAAAGACCAATTGAAAGGTAGAACGAAATTGATAGACGCTTTTGTAAATTTTGTTTGTAACTCTTGAAATCCGACTAAAGTACTAAAAAGCTGTCTTGTTAAGTGTGTAGGGTCGAAAATAGAAAACAGAATTAAAGTAGGTAGTAAGTGTTGAAAATGAATTTGCCTTAATCGAGGGCGAGGAAATTGGGTTACCGGAGAAGACGGTCGGGAATCTTAGAGATTGGACACGGTTTGTTTAGATGTTTTGTTGACCTAGGTGTCATTAGGTCCCAAAACCGGATAATTAGGCATCAAATCAATTTATCGAGTAGCCGGAAGGCATTTTATCGAGGGGAGGTGCAGCTGGGCGGACCGGGGACGGCCAATCGCTTCCAGCCTAGACTGCCGACCAATGCTGCTCCAGCGAGACGGAGTGGGGCGCAGACGGTCGTGCTCTTCTCAATCCCTGCCCCGTCCAGTAGCCCTCTTGGTTTCTCGGGTGTCGGTTTCGTTGTGGCGAGGATCTGGGCGTGAAGACGGGAACGTCACCAATACAGCTTATCTTGAACTGGAAAGGATTCGTTTAAAATAACAGAGCTGGATCTCTTCGGGACTGAAATGGCAGTGTCCACTCTCAACATGGCACCGTACTTCACTGGTTATCCCTTCCAAGGTAAATCTTAGTTGTATAACATTTTTATTCTTATGGCAGATTCATAAATATCGAAAGAAGGCAACAGTACTTACATTATTCTTGATCTGTATTTTAACGGAGAACGGATCTGTTCTTTCTTTCAAACTACTTTTCTTTCGATTTTCGTCGAGAACTCAAAGACTATTCAATGATATCAATTCCCATTTTTCTTGCCAATCTTACAACTCTTACATATTCAGATTTTAATAGTATTCATATCGTTAGTAATACAATTATTTACCATTTCTCCATTAATTATTGGAATGAAATTTCTACGGCAGTAGTTTCCTGCCCACGGCATATCTCAATACGTTAAAAAACTACCAAATTTCATTGCTTTATGGTATTCCTTCTGCCTTCTAAGAAATTCTTTATTATTATCATTTTTTTAAACATTTATTTTTTTCCGTCAAAAATCTTCTCCATTTAGACTACTTTGCTACAACAATTTAATACAATGTAATCCAAAACAAAAATAATATTGCACTGAATACAATCATTGATGTCAAAATTAAATTGTGTTTAGTTAATTTTAACAGGGTGTCCTTTTTAGATGTGGCTCGGCTTAATTTCTCTTGAACCTATGACGCTATAAAAAAAAAATAATAAAAAAAATTGTGTGTGTTGTTTAATATTTTTTACTGTAGTTTTAAAATTTTAACCTTTGTTTGGAGAAAAATTAGACGGTATCTCAGTCACAGTTCAACTTCAAAATTTCAAATACGACCCTATAAATCCTGACACATCATTTTAAAGGATCTTTTATGCTGAAAATAATAGTGCAACCGGATTTTAAATTGTTAAAAAAATGACCAAGTTATGGCAAAAAGAAACCGGTAGCGAAATTTCGACGAGGAGCTGAATAGTTTACTGTATATTCGCGAAAATACGAATTCCTTTCTCCGAAATGTACGAAGGGTTTTAGATTGTTCAAAAAATAAAATTAGAGCTGCACTCCGAACTTACAATTTCAACCGTAACGCTCTCATTTTGCCCAGAGACTTAGGACTCTGATTATGCAGGCTTTTAACGTTCCTCGCACCAACGGCGATTTGGTAGGCTGAAGAAAACGTTCTTCCATTCATCCAATGGAATGGATGAATCCAAGTTAATCTCGAATGACATACCAAACCGTTGGTGGCCAGATGAAAAGCCGAGAATTTCGTACTCTTGTCATCATCAGGTACACAGTATCAACGCTTGGTATGGACTTCCCGCATTTATTAAATTTGGCCTTATTTCTACGAAAATAATTTAAATGGTGCTTATTTCCTCAATTTATTAAGGGAGGTTTTACCAACACTATTAGTTCCTCTGCAACAACGACAACGAATTCCCCAGTTTGGAAGATGCCACGCAATTCTTTGAAGGTGAGACAATATTTGAATCGTCACTTCCGGGATTGGTGGATAAGACCTCATGGCCTGATCTGTTGGCCTCCTCGGTCACCCGATTTAACTCCACTTGACTATTTTTTGTGAGGCCAATTAAAAAACAGTGCCTTCGACAATCATAACCCAGCAACCTCAGTTGAATAACTGCGGCAAAGGTAGAAAATGATTCTCATTCTGTCTCTACTACTTCTATCGCTCTGAGCACCGCTGAAGAGCGTTAAAAAGAGCAAATCTTTACTTGTTTACGCAAGGCAGCAATAAAAATAGCAAACCAAATTACTGTTTTTTCCAAACATTTTGCCATTACTTTGTCACTTTTTGACCATTTTTGTAAAAAATCCGATTGCATCATTGTTTTCAGCGTTACAAATCCTTTGAAATGATGTGCCAGGATGTATGTATAGGGTCGTATTTGAAATTTTGATGTTCAACTGGGCCTCAGGTACCCTGAATAATTTTTCTCCAAAAAAGGTAAACATTTGAAACTAGACTAAGAAGTATTAAACACGTGTTTTTTTTTTTTTTTTATAACGTCTTTGGTCGAAGAGAAATTCACCAACCCATCTAAAAAGGACACTCTATATGCTTGTATCTAGCAATAGCAATATGTATACTCAAAATGATGTGTAAAATTACACTTTATTATCCGCTTGGGCATCGCCGGGTTATAAAGCTAGTATCTAATAAAGAAGACAATAAGAAAGTGGTAAACTTTTCCTGCAAGACACAGTGGTAGAATAAAAAAACCCTAAACATTGGAGTAAATAACCTATATAAAACGATAAAAAACTTGAAAAACTTTTCGGTTTAACTGATTCATTCCACTATTAATAATAGTTATTTATAATACAGTCAATATTTTTTGTTCCATAACGATTTCAATAACACGTTCAACGTTGGCTCCCGTTTTTTATGAATGTCCGTTTTGACTGCTCTTTTTTATCCATGGAAAATTTTAATAGTGTTGAATTTAATAGGATTTAAAATAATTTAACCAACGCTACTTAATTATTAATTTTCTTAAGGTAAATGATAACTATAATCTTCTTGTGAAAAGAGGTTATATGTGTTGTAATAAACTCATAAATAAAACATATAAACTACAATATTTCATACGATGGACAATCGTCTTGGTTTATTAAAGATAAAACGAAGTGTTGGAGTACATTCCTCTTTTTTATACTTTTTATCAACTACTTAAGTTATAAATCTTCTTCCCTCTGAAGGATGATCATGTATTAGAGAGGAGGGACGTGAATAAATGCGTTGAAAATTGGCACTTTGTTTTTAGTAAAATTTCATCGAAATAAGAAAAATGTGTTTGGTGATAAATTATTGTCTTTGAACTATCGGTTATTTATTTAAAAATTATTCAGTTAAAAAAAAACCTTTACCATTGGGTGGCTTTTGTTACTGTGAGAGAGAGATTATATAAACTACAAAGCTTTTAGAGTAGTTTTCTGTGATGAATGATGAAAGCTACATGTACACGGCCTATGATTGTTGAAAATATTCAAAAAAGTTTCTTGAAGAATCAGAAATAGATAAGCTAAAATTAATTCAAATTTTGAGTAATACAAACATATAGATCGTAGGAATATATACACTTCAGTATAAAGTTGGCGTGTCATCCTTTTAAAACATCCATTCTTTACATACCAAAATAAACTTCATTCTTAGAGGAACAGGTTTTTTTTTATTGAATATAGTAATGACAGTTTTTGTATCCCTAGCGTTTATTGAGAGTGAATATATTTATTAGCGTGGATGTGTGACCACATGAGAGTGACCCTTCAATTAGTTTAGTCATATGTGTAACGGGTTATGTAGGGAGTACTCCACTACCCTGAGTGAATCATTTGAAAATAAGTAAGAATGCATTTAATGGTGTGAATGGATAGCGTTGTGCCCTGAAATGACCTAGCTGTAGATAGCCCCTAGACCGACGTCTGACCCCGGACTGCCAACACCCACCCGAGGTGGGTGATTCTCGAGGTCTGCTGGTAAATCACTGTATAAAGTTCAAAAGCTGGAATTTCCCGTGGACTTCGAGAAATGATGTGCTCAACGTGTGCTCATGTGTATATACAAGTGCAGATTTGAGCTATATAAAACACCAGCAGCAGTAAAATAAACGTTAGTTTAGGTAACATTTTGAACTTTATCTTTTGTTTTCCCTATATACATATTTTCATTCTACCAATAATGTTTAATTATTCATTTTCTTAAAGTAGATGTTAACCATAATCTCCTGATAAGTAGAGGATATTGTATTGTGTAATAAATTCATAAATAAATGATATACATAACCATCTTTAATTTTTTATAATCCATACAAAATGGAGGAGTTAAAATTTCATGCGAATCATATCAATGAAACTGTTGACAAAATTCTCGCAGAACATAGCGTAAAGTTTCAAAAGGCGTATACTAACCAGATTATTGGAACTGATTGAATTAATTTATTCAAGTTCATAATAGAGGCTTACAAGTACGGAAAATAATTCGTTGTTGAATTTAATTTATCTGGTCCAGTCCTATCCAAGAAAAAAAAACAGTGAATTATGATAATTATAGTTTTTCTTGTATAGTTGTGATTAATGGTATGTTAAACAGCATGGATGAGATTTCAGTTAATTTATGAGAATGTCCTGAAAAAATAAAAACAACAAAGTCACTGCATGTTAAATACATTAATACATGATTATTGATAAATAATAGTCTTTTTTCTCGATTTTCGTTAACCTATACATAAATTATTAAAATATTAAGAAATATAAACGTCTAACGTACATTATTCGTATAACGTACATCAATGTCATTTTTTTCCATAAAATAGTTGAAATATTGTAGATCGAAAATGTAACTCACTGACAGAATTAGGATTTTTGGATTACGTTTTCATAAAGGTCATAGTATAGGCAATAAAACATCACTACCGAACTCACTTTGATTGACGCAATAGAAAATAAAATATGATTCAGGTTCAAAGAAGTAAAAGAATTGTTGAAGATTTGTTGGATGCTTTATTACAAGAAACTAAATAATAAAGACTTATGCTATTTATAATTTTTTACAAGTGTTTTTGGCCCCAAATATAAGGTCCTATATGCGATTGTCAATAAGGAAAAGAAGGTAAAAAAAAGTATATATATCTTTCAAAACCACCCATAAAAACATTTCAGGTGTAAACCAGAATTTAAAAAAAATCTTAACGAAAATACAAACTCATGCAAATTTATTGTTTATTTTTCTTTGCTTAGTATCCAGTTTAATTAACAAATCCAGTTTAAAAAGTTACAAATATTTATGGTTTTGGAACAATAATTGAATTAAAAAACCTCTTTTCGTTTAAAGTCTCCATTTATTACATGTAGTTCATGTGAATTAAATGACTTTTTCTGACAATACCTCATTATAGACATGCTCATGACTGGATGCTGTTGGAAAGTTGATGGCAATCGTCTCGTTACCTTGCAAGCATAACAATAGTGTAAAAAAAACAGACCCACTCTATACAATTACATTAATAAAGAACAAACGTATGAACAGCATCCATTAACATTACGAACAATACCAGTGACG